TCATACCCTACAGGCAGCAAACGTGTTATAAGCGGCCAGGCCGATGGACCAATTTTATCCAAGGGGCACCGATTTTAGTGGCTAAAATCGACCCAGTGGACCAATTTTTTATCAGCCAAAATCTTTCCGCTGGAATTTTTTTTGGCCCGGACCAATAATGACATGACAGGCCTTCTCAGTGGATGCTGTTCCCGCTTAGTTGTTAAAGGAATTTTAAAAAAGCCACATTATTATTGACATCTGTTAGGACATAGACTGAACTATAAATTTTAAATTTTATTTATGAAACCATGAATAATGGATTGAAATTTGATTCAGGTGTTGTAGATATGCCATGTCCAAACTATCAAACTTTATTTGACAAAAGTATGTGACAAGCCTAAATATGAAAGCATAATACATACTCCAAGTATTGAAATACACGTCATTGTCTAAATATGGTCATGATGACATCACGACATGACCATATATGGGCATGCAACAGTTTGTTAATAGGATACTTTATATTGAATTAATCAAAACTTAAGAAGATAACTACACAAACTCCAATTATTATAATACTAGAGAATTTTTAATTGATATTTACCACATTTATAAACGATTCTATGTTATGTACAAAAATATCTCAGAATTTATTTTTTTGACAGTAGAGTTGACTTGTATCTTGTATCCCATACCAGTGCTTCCTATTCCATCGTTCATATCATTTGCGGAATGGAAGTTGAGATGAAAATGATATTGGGATGAAAATTTCAATTCATCCTCCTAACCACCATGCTACACTTCATACACCCACTCATATTACTGTATGTGTGTGCAATTGAATGAATACTATGTGTTAAAACTGATTAATACAAAGAGACACCAAACACACGTACACTAAATTTATTTAAATTACTTTAGCTTATACGCGTCTTCATCACCATATATATGTGTTATAAATGGTGGTTAAGTTATAGAAGTGCCTTTATTCAACATTCTCTCAATCTCATATGAATCTCCTTTATGATCGAGACTTGTATAAACATTTGAGAAGTGTTAATACCAAAGCACTGTATTTATATTATGTGATTTTCAAGTGGAGGATCATTTTATTATTTTAAATTTTAAATGTTAATTAAACATTATCATCGTAGTTGATAATAATAGTAGAAATATGTTGGACTTATATGCTGCTTCATGAGCCATCAATAGCAAGTTCATAAATATTATTTATTAAAAATACTTTGTTATTTAAAGAAGAGGTTTAGCTCAATTACCTAATTTTCCAATTCTGAAATTACAATCATGCGCACTCGTGTGACACAAACGTTTTGAACTAGATTTTTGTTAATGTTACAAGTCCATCGGTACATCCAAGTTCAGCCACAGGCAATTGTAATTTGTAATAAATAGGATTAGGGTGATTCCTAGATGAGTTTTTTGTGTTATTACTACCCTTGTAATTATATGAAATAATATTGAATGGCTGAGGTAGACGAAGATGTAGTGAAGCACTTGCATCGTCATCACAAATCAAGTTGACACCGCGTACGTGAGGAGCGCTCGTGAGATTCATACTTTCGGAAATGAGATACAGAAGGCCTATTGGTTAAATAGTATACTAAATCACTTTTAAAATTATCTAAAATTGATTAACCATGGGCATAGGCTGCAGTGGCAGCTCTAGGATATATTTTCTGGGGGGTTAAGCTGTCCGACGTAGGCCCGAACTAGGAGAGGGGGTTCCCCATCCCAAATGAGAGTAGCAATTCCTCGCTGGATGGCCGGAAATATCACTCTCAGACTGTGACAGACAAGTGTTGGCTTGGTGTGGGCCTATTTTTTATTGTCCGACTGCCCGACGAGCTCTGTCCGACGGGGTGGGGGGGAGCTTGACCGGCCCCCCTTTCCCCCGCTGGAGCCGCCACTGACAGGCTGTGGGGAGGGGTGCCATGGCAGCATATTAGTTCCGCCAAGTGAATCAAAATACTAAATATGACCATTAAGTTTTCAGTAAGGCTTTATGTTCCGCATTTTCAATTTTCACACCCCCCCCCCAGGCCAAAACCAGCCTACAAGCTTCTTTAAATGAAGTTAGTACATGTGTATGTTGTGTTTTTATGAACATTTGAGCATGTGTTGTTTCATTTTCAAGAGTATGAGTCACTTGATCGTAGATAAAGACTTCATTGTCGAGTACACTGCCGGTAATATCAATGTGCTTTTCCTTTATAACCAATTCAACACATATTCATAACATGATGAAATCAAAATGGTAGATAACTAGAATTCAATGCCTATGTCAGAAAACATAAAAATTAAAAAAAATAATAATATAGCACTACCAGTAATAAACATTTGCTTTTCCTTTATAACCAATTCAATACACATTCATAACATGATGAAAAAATCAAAACAAGTAGATACTAGAATTCAATGCAAAAACATACAAATCCAAAATATGATAAAAATTTAGTATTGATAATACAAAAATGACTTAAAATAATATAATATTAATAATCAAGTATAGTTTGGAAGTGTAAAACCCCCTTGCTCACATTCTATGTAATTCAAACATTGGTGTTGAAATTCAAATTACATTTTAAAGCTTAGTAAGCTTTATTGTTTTTAAAAGAGATTTATAAATCAAAGTAAAATCTAATTTAACAAGTTATATACAGCTTAAAAAAATATTGTTTATCCAACATATTAAATAATTTACAGGCAGCAGCTTTGAAAGTGACCTACAAAATATTATGATTTTGTGTATATATTTTTTATATATATTTTTTTAAAGAATTATAATAAAAAAAGACATATATATATAAATTTATTTAGTATATTAATACATTTTTTCTAAATTTTTAGAAACCATAGACCAATAAATTTTAAAATATAATTTTATTTAACAATAAAGAAATTTGCTTTTGCATTCTAGTTCGCTGTAATAAAATAAAGCTTATTAAATTATTTTAGTTGAAATGTTGAATTATTTTACTTTTTTTAGTGGAAAATTATGAACACATAAATACATTAAACTGTATTTTTTACGTGAACTTTGTGAAATTTCCTGTGTAATTTTTGCAGGTTTCTATTTCCAACAGTTTCGCAACCTGTATCTTCCCTGGAGGAATGTATCCAGCTATTAATAGAAAGCATTTCAATAGATAAAGTAATTCAATAATAAATGTGTTGGCCACTACAAAGAGCATTTTATAGTCAATGCTATATGCATCAAGCAATCAATGTACTGTATACAATACAAATACAGACAGTATATACATTTGTAAGAATTTTATATTTGTACCGTATGCGCAATTTCGTACAAATCAAAGATCTTATAAACACAAGATAGCATTCTCCGCAATTTACGCGTGCAAATTCTGTAATAACGCATGAACGGTGCCCTCTTGCAAAATTGAAAACTTTTGAACCTTGACCGCTCTGACCATAGCGTACACCGTGCGACTTTACGTTTGCGCGTAATAATTAGAAGCGTCCGATTTACAATTTAGAACATAAGGAATAAATTAACATACTTGGTAACGAACTTTGGCGTAACGCGAACACCCTATCTCAGATCCATGGCAACGACTAGGACGCCCTCTCCCAAAACTGATTACTTTTCTGTGCCAAATCGACGCTTCTATTTGTTACGCGTAAAATCACGGAGAACGCCATCCTGTGTTTATAAGATCTTTGGTACAAATATAAAAATTTAAAAGCAAAGCAGATGTATGGTCCACATACATTACAACCAAAACTTCATTATTTTAATTTTGATTACACTCTTTTTTCATAATGATTATTAATATACTAAAATGTGTTCAATTACTGCACATAGAGTAATTCATTAGCTTAAAAAATTCCATATACACTACAATGTATACAATACAACTATATGTGGCAAAGACAAGCCAAACCAGTCACTCGTCGCAAAAATCGATTTTGAGTTATTAATACAGTGTTAGATAGTAAAATAATAGCTATAAAATGGTAAAAAAAATCATTAAAATTGGACATTTCCTTATGAAGTTACAAGCGTTTAACCACACAGCTGTTTAAAGAACAATATATGAGAAATTAGCCGTCAAAGTTTATGATTTCAGGCATTTCTCATGCAGAAACTATCTTTAAATCCTTAAAAGTATTGTTTTAATATTGAAAATGGGGAAAATAACAGCATAGAATGATGTGTAGCTTTATAAAGGTTAGTTTAGTACAATAAAATAGATTTATACAAATTTGACATTCCAGCATGTTTTAGCCATTTTCTCTGAAACACGATTTCCGACGAGTGACTGGTTTGGGTTGTTTTTGCCACATATAT